TGGGTTCAATTCCTCAGCACCACATAAGCAAAAAGAAAAAAGCCGGAAGTGGCGCTGTGGCTCAAGTGGTAGAGCGCTAGCCTTGAGCTGAAGAGCTGAGAGACAGCGCCCAGGCCCAGAGTTCGGGTGTCTCCCAGCCGGGGTCATCCTAGCAGCGCGGGAGGCCGAGCGCTGGGCCCGGCAGGAAACGGCGGCGCTCCCTCATCTCCAGTTAACCAAAAGCAGAAGTGGCGCTGTACCTCTAGAGGTGGAGCACTACCCTTGAGCGAAAAAGCTCAGGCACAGTGCTCAGGCCCTGCGTTCAAGCCCTAGGACAGGCGCGTGTGCACGCACGCACACATACTGCACACACTTTTTAATTGGTCGTGGGGCTTGAGCTCTGGGCCTGGGCGCTGTCCCTCAGCTCTTCAGCTCAAGGCGAGCGCTCTACCACTTGAGCCACAGCGCCACTTCCAGTTTTCTGGTGGTTTATTGGAGATAGGAGTCTCACAGTCTTTCCTGCCCGGGCTGGCTTTCAACCGTGCTCCTCACATCTCAGCTCCTGAGTAGCTAGGATTACAGGCGTGAGACACTGGCGCACAGCTAAAAGACACGTTCTTAAGAAACAAAAAAGGAGAGCTGGGCGCCGGTGGCTCACATCTGTTATCCTAGTTACTCAGGAGGCTGAGATCTGAGGATCTCAGTTCAAAGCCAGCCTGGGCAGGAAAGTCCGTGAGATTATCTCCAATAAAAACCACTAGAAAGCCAGAAGTGGCGCTGTGGCTCAAGTGAGTAGAGCACTGGCCTTGAGCTGAAGAGCGCAGGGACAGCGCCCAAGCCCAGAGTTCAAGCCCCAAGACACAGACACACACACACACAAAAGGTGCTAAGAAAATTCAGAAAGAGCCAGAAATGGCCCGGTGGCTCAAGTGGTAGAGTGCTGTGAGCAAAAGTTGCTCAGGGACAGCAGTAGGCCCAAAGTTCAGGTCCCAAGACTAGTAAAAAATAAAGCACTAATTAGAGCGTTACTCTTGAGCAAAGGAGATCAGGGAAGCGCTCAGGCCCTGAACTCAAGCTCCATAACCTACCAAAAAAAAAAAAGACTATCTACATAGAGTGGTGGCGGCCAGGGACAGCCACTGTCCCCTCACTCCCTCAGCCATCCATCCCATCCCGGCTGCAATGATTGGAGATTGTTTTGAATGCTGGAATGGGATTCTGTAGTCATGTCTATATAGTCCTGTGGTGGACCAAGTTAAAGGGAATACAAATTGGGACCCCCTCAAATCTCAACAACCCTGTCATTCCCTCACCCCAATTCCTGTTCCTCCTAAGTCTCAGTTCATACAGCAAGTAATTGGAGTTCTAACCAGCCTCAGCCAGAACTAAAACAAGTGACCACATGGTGATCTGTAATCTGCTTCGCATACATGAACAGTTTAATCCTGAGAGCTCCCAGGCCTTAGCACCACACCGGTGCCCACTTCCTAACCAGGTGTTCTGTTGCTGGAGATTAGACATCTGATGGTGAAGTGCTGTAGGGAGCTCTAAGGTACCTGACCAGATGACACCTGGCAAGCTTAGCGTGCAGCCCCAAGCCGTGATCTGTCTCCAAAACAGGCCCAACCTTGAGTGTTCACGTTATCCTCTGGCCACTGCAACAACAGCGTGGTTAGAGACATTGGTCATGGGCTATGGGAGCACCAGCCCCACCCTCAGCTCTGGCTCATTTTGTCAGGTTACTTAACCACTTAACCTTTGAACCTTAGGTGCCTAATAGCACTGTTTACCTCATAGTGCTGGAAGGGGATAAAAAGAGATGTTAGGAGAGCTGGTGGCTCAGGCCTGTAATCCTAGCTACTCTGGAGGCTGAGATCTGAGGATCACGGTCGAAAGCCAGCCTGGGCAAGGAAAGTCCATGAGACTTCAGCTCACAGCGAGCACTCTACTGCGCTCTACCACGGCGCCACTTGTGAGACTTTTATCTCCAATAAACCACTAGAAAATCCAAAGTGGGGCTGTGGCTCAAGCAGTAGAACACTCACCTTGAGCTGAAGAGCTGAGGGACAGCTCCCAAGCCCAGAGTTCAAGCCCCACGACTGACAAAAAAAAAAAAAAAAGAGATGCTAGGAAAGCACTGGGCACAATCAGTGCCTGATGGGTGGAGGTTATAACAGCTATTTATTCTGTACATTAGTCACACATGCTGTACTGTTACTATGTTTAACATTTACTTTACATGTGGAAGTTTGTTAATTTTTTGCCAGTCTTGGAGCTTGAACTCAGAGCTGGCCCAGGCATTGTCCTTGAGCCTCTTTGATCAAGGTTAGTGTTCTACCACTTGAGCTACAGTACCACTTCTGGATCTTTCTGAGTAGTTAATTGGAGATGTCTCATAGATTTTTCTGCCCGGGCTGGCTTCAAACCACGATCCTCAGAAATATCAGCCTCCTGACTAGCTAGGTGTGAGCCATCAGTGCCCAGCTTTGTGGAAAGCTTTTGTGTGTACTAGTCCAGGACTTGAACTCAAGAACTGGGCACTGTTTCTGGGCTTTTTTGCTCAAGGCTAGCACTCTACCACTTGAAGAATCACAACTCCGCTCCCAGGGTTGTTTTTTTTTTTGGTCGGTTGTGGGGCCTAACCTCTGGGCCTGAGTTCTGTCCCTTAGCTCTTCAGCTCAAGGCTAATAATGCTCTACCACTTGAGCCACAGCACCACTTCCAGCTTTTTCTGCTTATGTGGTGCTGAGGAATCAAACCCAGGGCCTCATGCATGCAAGGCAAACACTTATCACTGAGCTACCTTCCCAGCCCCACCTCCAGCTTTTTTGGTGCTTGATTGGAGATCAGTCTCCTGATGGGGCTGGGTTTGTACCTAGATCCTCAGATCTTACCGTCTTGAGTAGCTAGGATTACAGTTATGAGCTACTGGCACCAGACTATTTTGTTGTCAGCTGTGGGGCTTGAACTGAAGGCCTGGTACTGTCCCTGAGCTTTTCTGCTCAAGGCTAGCAATCTACCTATTGAGCCCTTCAGCTCCACTTGTTTTTCTGGTGGTTAATTGGAGATAAGCGTTTCACAGACTTTGCTGCCTGGGCTGGCTTCAAACCATTATCTTCAGATCTCAGCCTACTGAGTACCTACAATTATAGGTGTGAGCCACCAGTGCCCAGCACCAGACTTTAAGAGCTGAGGGACAGCACCCAGGCCTAGAGTTTAAGCCCCATGACCGACAAAAATACAATCAAAAAAGCTAAGGGAGAACATTCCTATTCCTGAGTTCAACTCTAGTATCAGCACAAAAAACAATAAATAAAACAGCCTTCCTGTTACATGTTTTATTTTTTGCAGAGCTGAGGACCAAACTCAGGGCCTTGCACTTGCCAGGCAAATGCTCTTCCACTGAGCTGAATCCCCAACTGACTTTTTTTTTTTGAGACAAGAACTCAATATGCAAGTCAGGCTTGTCTGGAACTCAAGATCCTCCTGCCTTTGCATCCCAATGCTGGGATTATAAGATTATGGGTACCACCACACCTGGCCTACAGTCCTTTGATAGCTTTTTATAAAAAGTTGTAACTTTCTGCATTGATAAGTTCTGTATTTGCATGAGCCAATACCACAGGCATCAATTACAAGTATTCCAAATGTGGTTTGTTCAACCAAGTTTAAACTAAAAAAATAAATAAATAGGGCTGGGAATATGGCTTAGTGGTAGAGTGCTTGCCTAGCATGCATGAAGCTCTGGGTGATTCCTCAGTGCCACCCAAGTAGAAAATGCTGGAAGTGGTGCTGTGGCTCTAGTGGTAGAGTGCTGGTCTTGAGCAAAAGCAGGTCAGGGACAGCGCCAAGGCTGGAAGTTCAAGCCCCAGAACTGGCAAAAAGAAAAAAAAAATCGCCCCACATAGTGACTATTGTGCAGATTAGCTGATTTGGTTGCTCAAATGCTTATTAAAAACAGTATTAACATACATATATATATAAGCTGCTGTTAACATTTATTGTTGCTGGGGATCAAACCTACCTAGAACCTCAAAAATACCACAGGCACCACATTCCCAGCCTTGTAACCAATGCTTAAATATTAGCTGAAAATGATAGAGGAACTCAAAAGCATTTCTAAAGATGTACTGTAAGAAAATTAGATGGGTGAGGGGGGTAACAATGCTCAGTAAGAAATGGACTCATTACCTTGTTCATGTAACTGTAACCTCTCTGTACAGTATCTTTACAATAAAAAATATATATTAAGGGCTGGGAAATTGGCTCAGTGGTAGAGCGCTTGCCTTGCATGCCTGAGGCCCTGGGTTCGATTCCTCAGCACCACATAAGCAAAAAGAAAAAAAGCCAGAAGTGGCGCTGTGGCTCAAGTGGTAGAGCGCTAGCCTTGAGCTGAAGAGCTGAGGGACAGCGCCCAGGCCCAGAGTTCAGGCCCCACGACCGGACCCCAAAAAAATATATATGTATATATACATATATTAAATAAAAAAGATATTTAGATGGGTGCTGATGGCTCATGCCTGAAATCCTAGCTACTTAGGAGACTACGATCTGACATTCCATCTATCTTCTATTCTGCAGCATCATTAAAAAGAAAATATAGTGATTCTTGAATCACTAGTGATTCGTACAGCTAGCTAACTAGTAGGTACACTGTAGCACCTTGACCTGCTTCAGTCTGTATCCTGAACATCTATTTCGTAGACATGGCTTATTCTGCCCTTCACAAACGGCCTGGCAACTGGCAGGCACTCCCTTAAAAGCCAGGGAGTGTGTAGAAAACAAGTGGCCTTTTTATAAAACTCTACATTTATTAAAAGATTTCACTTATTAAAAGATTTCACTCTCCCCTCCAAAATATTTTACAGTTAAAAAAAAATCAAAATTATTTTCTCAACTGTACATGTTGCTGCTTCCTTTCCTCAGGACCAGCTTCTACCCCCCCCATCCCCAGTCACCCCTGTATGGGTCATACATGGTTTATAAGCCCCTCCCACTCTCCCTGTCAATACCCTTTGGCTGCCCTGCCAGCCCAGCCCAGCCCAGCCCAGCCCAGCCCAGCCCAGCCCAGCCCAGCCCGGCAAGGGTTTCTGGTCCCTGCAATGGAGCCATATGGATGAAGGAGAACAGGCAGCCTTGAGGGGCAAGAGTGTGCTTTGTGCTTCTGGGAAACAGCCAGCTGCCATTTTTCATCAAGTAGATCTCTTGTCTTGCCCCATGGACACCTGTTCAGAGCCAAATATTTGACTTGGGGTTGCCCAGAGCTCTCTAGCCTGCCCTTTCTCCAGACTGCCCAGGCATGGGTCAGGTGACTGTTGCAGCTGCCTGCTTGGGGACTGTTAGGAGTGGCATGTGACTACAGTGGGACCTGACAGAGCCCCAACTTTTCACAGTGCAGGCACCAAACACCTAGAAGCAAGCTTTGGTGTTTTGGTAGGCAAAGCCAAGGCCAGCCAGGACCACAGGAGGTAGGAAGTTGGAGGGGAAGAGAGGTCTAACCAATCACATAGTTAGGTCTAAGTTCTCCCATCCCAAACTTAATCCTGCAGATTCCAGGATGACTCCAGAAAGAAGAGAGAGGAAAAGGACTCTGCTCTGTTGATGGGGAAAAGGCAGGAGATGACAGAGCACTGAGGGCTGGGGAGAGGCCTTCAGGATTCCACAGTTGTCTTTGCTTCCCTGTTTGGTGAGGCAGGGAGGGAGCCAGCCGTCAGGCCCTAGTCGGCTTCATCAGCTCTGTTCCTTGTCTTTGACTAGTAAGACTGTGTGTTGGCCGCCGCTGGACACAGATAAGACCACACGGTTCTCCAGCTGTTTGCCAGTCATCTCCACGGGGCTCCAGGCGTCCTCATCTTGCCCTGTGCCCAGCTGATAGTTGGTGCCCATGCCCCAGGCAAAAACACGACCTGCAAAGAGAGAAGCAAAGACAGCTGAAGGCCTACATCTGGACTCTGAGAAGGTGGAAAACGAGTGAATTTGGAAGCTCTCAGCCTTGGGAGTTCAAGGACATTGGGGAAAGCTAAACAGATGATGCCCTAAGCTGGTCTTCGGCTCACAACTAAAATCCTAGCTATGGGGCTGGGAAGGTGGCTCAGTGGTAGAGCGCTTGCCTTGCATGCATGAGACCCTGGTTCAATTCCTCAGCACCACATAAGCAGAAAAAGCCAGAAGTGGCGTTGTGGCTCAAGTGGTAGAACGCTAGCCTTGAGCTGAAGAGCTGAGGGATAGCGCCCAGGCCCAGAGTTCAGACCCCATGAATGACAAAAAAGAAAAAAAATAAATAGAAATAAATAAATAATATAAAAAATAAAATCCTAGCTATGGAGGCTGTGATCAGAGGATCAAAGTCAAAGCCAGCCCAAGCAAGAAAGTCCCTAAGACTCCTCTCTAACAGCTAAGTCAGAAGCAGAGCTCAAGTAGCTGTAGCTCAAGTGGTAGACCACTAGACTTGAGCAAAAAAGGTCAAACACCACAACCGACCAAAAAAAAATAATAATAAATAAATAAGTTAAAAAAATAAAAAAGTCAAACAGCAGCACTCAGGCCTTGAGTTCAAGCTCCAGGACCAGCACACAAAAAGATGATGTCAGACAATGCTTTACTCTTAGGTGTGACAATCAAGGGCCACTCCTTGAACACATTCTGAGGGCCGGTCAGACTCTGGATGTGTCTCTGCTTGGGTCATATAAATGACTGAACCCCCAGAAATTCTCCCCAGATCATCTCAAACCAGGCACCTCTGCAGCCCAACTTTTCAAGGTTGTCCCCACCTGGGCCCCTCATCCTCTATTTACAATGATTTGTGTTTGAAGACCGTTTCTGAGTCACAAGCAAAGCAATGACATTGCCAACGCTGCTCTGGGACAGCTGTGTCTGATGCTGACATCATAGCCTGCTAAGGAGTTTGCTAAGAACCCTGGCCTCCAGGCCCCAAGCAGACAGAGGGGCGGGGGATAGCCCTACTCACCATCCTTGGACACGGCATACCCTACAGAGGCTCCACAGGCCACTGAGGAGACAGTGGGCAGCCTGGAGATGAGGGTGGGTATGCTCTTCTCCTCAGCACCCTCCCCAAGGCCTAGCCGCCCGTACTCGGCCCGGCCCAGGCTGTATGCTTTTCCTGTGAGGAGAGACAGAGAGATGAGCAGTAGCACAGGACATACTCCAAGGCCAGCTGCAGTCCTCACTCCCAAGGTGGACAGACGGTGACTTTGGGAGGGAACCTGGAGAATTTTCCTGTAGACCCCGCAGAAAGTTCCTGCTTAGAAGCCCTGGCCTCTGGAGCATAGGAAATGCCTTGTGGACCGCAGTCTGGCCCAAACCCATGGGACAGATGCAGAGTTTAAGGACCTCAGGCCCACTGTAGCCAGACCAGGCCCAGAGACACCCTGTCTTCAAAACAGAGAAGGTAGCCAGGCACTGATGGTTCACGTCTGTAATCCTAGCTACTCAGGAGGCTGAGATCTGAGGATCGCAGTTCAAAACTAGCCCAGGCAGGAAAGTCCGTGAGACTCTTATCTCCAATAAACCCCTCAAAAACCGGAAGTGGCGCTGTGGCTCAGGTGGTAGAGCGCCCGCCTTGAGCTGAAGAGCGCAGGGACTGTGCCCAAGCCCAGAGTTCAAGCCCCACCAACGACCAAAACAAAAAAACAAAACAAAACAGAGAAGGTCTTACCTTCGGAATCCATGCAGACTGTGTGATGCTGGCCACCAGAGAAGCCCACCCAGGACTTGGTAGAATTCTTGAAGGATGTCAGATTCTGGGGTACGAAGCAAGATTCTGTGCCTGGTGTTCCTGCCAGCAGAAATGAACGTGTTGCGGGAGCTGCCCTTCTCAATGCCCTTCCATCGGACACCCTTATCTCATTATGGATAGTCTTACTTTACATGTTACACAACTGTGGCTCTGAGAGTTAGGGTACCCCAGTGAATGAGAAGTAGAGCCAGGATTGGGCCCCAGGCCACTGAGTCACACACACTCGGTGCTGGGCTCAGGACTCACCAAGCTGATGGTAGTTGGAAAGGCCAAAGCCATACACATGGCCCTCTCGGGAGATGGCAAAAGTGAAATAGGCACCACAGAAGGCGTCCTGGAACCTCACATGGCCTCGGGTCCCCCTGGACTTCAGCAGCACACACTTGGGCACCAGGAGTCGTTCTGTAGACAGGGAAGGCCAGTGGGTGACAGACACACGAGGGGTCTCTGCCCTGACCTTGGGTCTGTCCTTCCCTTGGCAGGAAGGGAAACCCAGAGCACAAGTAACAATCCAATCCCCAGTCATGGTAGGTGACATCTGCATGGAATAGTCCTCTTATCAACCCAATGAAGCAGGGTTGGAGGAGGGCAAGTCAAACAAACCCCATACAGGGCCCCAGAGCCAGGAGGCCAAGCAGCAGAAATGATTCACACAGACCGAGGGCAGGTGGTCTCTAGAGGGGGCTTGAACTCAGGGACTTAGCATTGCCCATTGGCCTTTTCACTCAAAGCTTGCACTACGCCACTTGAGCCACATTTCTACTGGCTTTTTGGTGGTTATTGAAATGAGAATCTCTTGGGAATTTCCTGCCTTGGTTGGCTTTGAACCAAGTCCCTGGGATCACAGCCTCCTGAATAGCTAAGATCACAGGCGTGAGCACCAGCACCTGGCTGGGCTGGAGGTCTGGTGTTTTGCTTTTCTTTTTTCTTGGGGCTTGAATTCAAGCCTGGGCACTGTTCCTGAGTTTTTTGGGGTTTTTTGGTCAGTCACAGGGCTTGAACTCTGAGCCTGGGCGCTGTCCCTCAGTTTGTCAGCTCAAAGCTAATGCTCTACCACTTGAGCCACAGCACTACTTCCGGTTTTCTGATGGTTAGTTGGAGATAAAAAGACTCATGGAGGGCTGGGAAGATGGCTCAGTGGTAGAGTGCTTGCCTTGCATGCCTGAGGCCCTGGGTTCGATTCCTTAGCACCACATAAGCAAAAAGAAAAAAGCCAGAAGTGGTGCTGTGGCTCAAGTGGTAGCGCGCTAGCCTTGAGCTGAAGAGCTGAGGGACAGCACCCAGGCCCAGAGTTCAGGCCCCACTACCGGACCCAAAAAAAAAAAAAAAGACTCATGGAGTTTTCTGCCTGGGCTGGCTCTGAACCATGATCCTCAGATCTCAGCCTCCTGAGTAGCTAGGATATTAGTGTGAGCCACCGGCGCCCGGCTTGAGTTTGACTCTTGGACCACATTACAAGTTCGTCTGAAGTAAATCTGCCTTCTACATCCACCAGGGGATGGCTTGCCATGGTGCCTCGCTGCGAGTACCAAAGCCACTTACCAAGGCCCTGCCGTCCACCACGGTTGGCAAATAACTCAGGCACCCGGCCCAGCTGGCCCTGCTCCCCACAGCCCAAGGTGTAGAGGTCACCGTCAGCTGTCAGCATCACCAAGTGGTCATTTCCTACAAGTGATGGGAAGGCAGAGAAGTCAATGCTGAGCCGACCCAGAACCAAGTTGTCCAGCTTAGCCTGCGGCTAGTACCCAAGACTCACCGGAGGCCACCTTTACCACCGGCACATCGAGCTGCACATGCACAGGCACCATGCTCTTCTTCATGGGCTCCAAGAGCCCGATCACACCATTGTTGTCCTACAAGAGAGGGACAGAGCACTCAGCAGCCAGCCCTGCCTGCCCACTGCGGGATAAAGGGCAGTGAGGGATGGCAGACGGGGTGAAGAGGCAGGCAGCAGATGCTCACCTGCGGAATCCCATGTGCTCTGGGAATTCTGTTCAAGTAGTGGGGAGAGCAGGTACAAGTGGAGACAAATAAGTCTACAAAAAGTTGTTACTGCTGCTGTTGTGTGGATGGAGGGGGTGGGTGTCAATACACCATCCTGACACTTTTATGTGCTGTAGGAAATTTGCCATAGAATTTTTTTTCCCCCTGTTTCTGGGGTTTGACTGGGACTGGGCACTGTCCCTGAGCCTCTTTGTGCTCAAGGCTAGCACTCTACTACTCTGAGCCACAGCACCACTTCCAACTTTTTTGAGTAGTTTATTAGGGATAAGAGTCTCCACAAGGGGCTGGGAAGGTGGCTCAGTGGTAGAGTGCTTGCCTTGCAAGCATGAGGCCCTGTGTTCAATTCCTCAGCACCACATAAGCAGAAAAAGTCAGAAGTGGCACAGTGGCTCAAGTGGTAGAACGTTAGCCTTGAGTTCAGGCCCAAGGACTACCACCACCAACAAAAAAAAGCACAAGTCCCTGAGTTCAAATCCCAGCCCTGAGAGAGGTAAAACCACTTTGATAAAGAAATACTTGCTGGATTTCCTTTAGTTTTTGCCTTGCTTTCTGATTGCCAGTTCTGGGGCTTGAATTCAGGGCATGGACATTGTCCCTTAGCTTTTGCTCAAGGCTAGTGCTCTGCTACTTGAGCCACACCTCCACTTTCCCCCCACCCCCCCCTTTTTTGAGGCAGAAACTCATTTTGTATCCCAGGTTGGCCCTGCCTGATTGTTTTAGGGAGTGACACTACACCTGACTTGACTCCTTTATCTTTACAAGATCTTAAAACTAAGTACCAAAGAACTAAGAGTCATAATGCTGAGCTGATATTTGAGTTGTACTCCTCTGTCCTGGAAACAGGTGTGACAATACCCATCCCCAGGATTCCCTCGCACGAAGCTTCTGGGAAGTCTGGAAAGGGGCTGGGAAGGGAGAAGGAAGGGGAGGCAGGAAGAGCGAAGACAGCAGCTTTGTGTATCAGCTGCAAGCCAAAGGCATGCTTGACCCATCCCCTTTTTTTTGGGGGGGGGGCGGTCATGGGGCTTGGGCGCTGTCCCTGAGCTCTTCAGCTCAAGGTGAGCACTCTACCACTTGAGCCACAGCGCCACTTCCAGTTTTTCTGGAGGTTATTTGAAGCATCTCACAGACTTTCCTGTCCAGGCTGGCTTTCGAACACGATCCTCAGATCTGAGCCTCCTGAGTAGCTAGGGTTACAGGCGTGAGCCACCTGCGCCCGGCACCTATCCCTTTCTCAAAACATGTACTCCAACGGTGGCACCGACAGGCCTAGATGAAGAAGTCAGAGACTTGGATCTGAACCCCAGCTCTCTCTGGGGGAACCTTCATCTCTCCACCAGTAAGGAAGCAAAATGGGATTAAGGAGTTCGATTTTCTTACTCAGAAGTCAGTTCCACTTACCCGGAAGGAACCCCAGAGGAAAACTCGACCATCCTCGGTGAGGGCTGCGGTGTGACTGTCTCCTGCTGACACCTGCACCACCTTTTCCTGCAGCTCCACTTTCCCGGGGACCATCTCTGAGCCCTCCACTGAGGTGTCCCTTCCCAGGGCACCTTCGTCATTGCAACCAAAGGAGTACACCTGTGCCCAGGATGCTCCATTAGTGTCAGGGCCTGGGCACTATCCCTAAGCTTTTTTTTGCTCAAGGTTAGCACTCTGCCACTTGAGCCGCAGCACTACTACAATTACTACTGATTTTTCATAACTTAATGGAGATAAGACTCTCACAGACTTTCCTGGCTGGTCTGGCTTAGAACCATGATCCTCAGATCTCAGCCTCCTGAGTAGGTAGGATTACAGCCGTGAGCCATCTGCGCCTGGTAAAGGCTACTCTTGCTTAGGCCACTTCTTGCTTGACTAGCCCGCTCCATTTCCATAGAGAAACTGTGGCTCAAAGATCCAACCCCCACCTCCCCAGCCCTGGTCCCGCCCACACCAAATCTCCAACTTACCTGGCCACTTTTGCTCAGACACACAGTGTGCATGCCCCCGGCCTCGGCCTGCACAACATCCTCCAGAATGGGCACCAGGGCTGGCTTCTTCCGCTCCATGATAGTCTCGCCCAGCCCCAGCTGGCCCACGTCGCCCTGGCCCAGCGTCAGCACCAAGCCCGGTTCTGTGCTGTGGGACCTGTGTGAGACTGAGGAGCGGGGAAGACGGCCCCTGAGTGTGCAGGGTGATGGAGACAAGAGGCCCCTCACGGGCTCTGGACTCACAGAGCTGGGCTGCCACAGGCCAGTTCTCTCTCTTTCGAAGCCTAACTCTCCTTAGCTGTGAAACCTACAGGACTTTGAGGGAGCAGGTAGAAACAAGGAGACACTCCCTACCGAGGGAGGAGATGGACACAAGGAGACAGTCCCTACTGAGAAATCAATCTAGCTTGGTTTTCCTGATTAGCTTATGTTGCTGTCAGCGGTCAGGATGCCAACAGTTGGGGCTCAGATAATGTTTGCCCTCCACTGACTGCTTACTCTACTAATGCTTCCTTTGCAGACTTTCACTAGTTAGGATCCCCCTTTATAGGAAATGGAACAAAGCCTCTCAAGAGATTCAATACATTATCTCGGGCCATGCAGTAGCAAAATCTTCAATAAACTCTAGTAGAGTTTGCACTAAGACCAAGAGACTACTTGGGCCAAGCAGTCCCCAAAACTCCACCCCACTCCCTCCCTTTCCAGTGCTTGTTATTATTGTTTTCAGACCCATGCTGCCCTTAAACTTGGAATCCTCATGTCTCAGCCTCCTGAATGCTGGGATTCCAGGCCTGTGTCACCATACCCAGCAATCAGGCTGGGATTGGTCCCTTCCATCCCTCTCCACAGCACAGTAGCAGCTGGAGAGAAAGGAGAAGGAGTAATGAGGACTCAAAGAAGCATTCGTGGAGCGGTGTGGGCCAATAAGTAGGCGACACAAGGCCCTTTGCTAGCCAGTGGCCGCTGCCCGCAGCCCCGGCCTGCCAATAGCGTCTAGCCTCTCTCTTGGGATGTGGCCACAGCTGCCTGGGCTGCAGCCACTGCTGCAGCTGCGCAGTGGGCAGGGAGCCACCTGGTCGGATTTTCTGGTCAGGAGGGCTCGGCCTGCAGGCACCTTGGCCGGAGAGGACACCAGGACCACGGCGGGAGGCAGTGGCCCGCGCTGCCTGGTTACGAGAGTCTGCAAAAGACAGACACTGTCTGAGCGTGTGTCCGCCTCCCCCCTCCCAGACTGGGGGTGGCTTTCTCTCGTCCCTGTCCCATTCTGGGGGGTCATAGGAGGGAGAAAACCGTAACTACCTCCCTCAGAGGATGCCAGGACATGATCCCAGGGGACTGGCACCCCTCTCAGCCCCATCACTGAAGTGGACAACTCAAGCTGAAGAGTGGCTGAGTGAAAGCCTACATATAATTCATTACTTATTGCCCGGAGCTAGTGCTATAACAGCACTGCCAGAGTGCTTTGAACCAAGACCCTACCCCTTTTATGATTCCCAAAGGGTGGGAACTCAAGGAGCTCCAGGAGACCTTCAGCTGACCCCAGACTCCCAAGCCCCCGCTGTCCAGCAGGGCTCCAAGAGGCCACTCACAGCCGGAAAGAGACCAAGATCAACTTACTCTTCACCTTCTTGCTTTTGGGAATCGCATCTTCCGGGGGTGACCTTCTCTTGGCTATGCGCTTCGGTGGCATCTTCCTGTCCTGAAAAACCCAGCCAAATATTGCCTATTAGAAATGACAAAGCTGGGCACTGTGCCTCACGCCTATAATCCTAGCTACTTAGGAGGCTGAGAGCTAGAGGATTGAGGCTTGGAGTCAGACTGGGACAAAAAGTCCCTAAGACTCTATCTCCAATTAATGCTGGACAAGAGGCATAGCTCAAGAAGTAAAGCACCATCTGTAGGCAAAAAAGGCATGTGAACACAAGGCCCTGATTTCAAGCCCCAATAACAAAAAGGAAATGCCAGATGCCGATGGCTCACACCTGTAATTCTAGCTATTCAGGAGGCTGAGATCTAAGGATCAAAGCCAATGTAGGCAGACAAATCCTCAAGACTCTTTTTTTTTTTTTTTGGTTCCGGTCATGGGGCCTGAACTCTGGGCCTGGGCGCTGTCCCTCAGCTCTTCAGCTCAAGGCTAGTGCTCTACCACTGGAGCCACAGCACCACTTCCAGCTTTTTTCTTTTTTTTGCTTATGTGGTGCTGAGGAATCGAACCCAGGGCCTCATGCATGCAAGGCAAGCGCTCTACCACTGAGCTACCTTCCCAGCCCCAATCCTCAAGACTCTTATCCCTAATCACCAGAAAGCTAAAATGGAGCTATGGCTCAAGTGGTAGAGCACTAGTCTTGAGCAAAGAGCTCAGAGACAGTGCCCAAGCCTTGAGTTCAAGCCCTAGGACTAACAGGAAAGAAAGAGAGAGAGGGAAAGAAAGAAAGAAAGAAAGAAAGAAAGAAAGAAAGAAAGAAAGAAAGAAAGAAAGGAAGGAAGAAAGAAAGAAAGAAAAGGAAGAAAAGGAAGATCTGGGAATGTGGCTTAGTGGTAGAGTGCCTGCCTTGCATGCATGAAGCCCTGGGTTCGATTCCTCAGTACCACACAAACAGCAAAGGCTGGAAGAGGCGCTGTGGCTCAAGTGGTATTGTGCTGGCCTTGAGCAAAAGCAGCTCAGGAACAGTGGCCAGGCCCTGAGTTCAAGCCCAGGACTGGCAAAAAAAAAGGGGGGGGGAGGGGAATGTGCATATGCTCAGCAGTTATAGACAGCTAATTAATGTGTGAAATACTCAGAACAGTAGGAAATATTCAGAGGTGAGGGACTGGGAAGGTGGCTCAGTGGTAGAGCGCTTTCCTTGCATGCAGGAGGCCCTGGGTTGGATTCCTCAGCACCACATAAGCAGAAAAAAGCTGGAAGTGGTGCTGTGGCTCAAGTGGTAGAGCTCTAGTCTTCAGCTGAAGAGCTGAGGGACAGCGGCCAGGCCCAGAGTTCAAGCCTCATGACCGACCAAAGAAAAAACAAAAACTCCAGTACCAACCCCATCATCGTCCTCTCCACCCCAAAAAAAGGCATTTACAATTTTGGAGAAAAGTGAGATATAGTCACAAATCAAAGTCAGAATGGAGTCAACTGCCATGAATAGGACCTATATTGGGTCAACCTCTCCCAGAAGTTTGCAGATTAAGGAAGACCAGGTTGAGGTAGGGGAAGGTGCCCCAGGCCAAGTCTCCTGACCATTCCCTACCAGGGCAGCTCCAGCCTGCTCCCATATGAAAAAGGGTAGGCAGACCAGACAGCCTGCCACTTGTGACCCGTCCCAGCCGCGTTCCTGTGATGAGAGAAGCAGTGTTCTGGAACCACAGCAGCTGCTCCTCCTGCACACACTGCGAGGCAGAACTTGCCTGCCAGACTCGGGCTAAAGAACCTCTTTGTGTGAGACAGAGATGCCTCTCCTGTCAGTAGACACTTGCAGAGCTGCTACGTCATGGCCAAGCTAAGCACAGGGCTGGCATGCTTCGCACCCACAATGCCCCACCCTGGCCTCCCAGTACAGGAACTTTAGACCCAGGTCTTGGTATTCACTGTTCCCAGGGGAAGGAACCCAGCTTCCACTAGATGTTAGAATGAACGCTTTACTTAAATGATGGGATATGTGCGACCCTTTTACCTTCATTTTACAGATGAGGACACTGATGCTGAGGGGGATTGCCCAGGGAGGCCCAGGGAGACCGGACTAGCAAGAGGATGGCATTCCTATTCTTTGAAACCCCAACCTGGTTAAATCCTAATTCATCTCTCCACACACTGCTGATGCCCTCCCGGCTCTCGAACCACCCGTGTTGACCTGACCACCACACTCAAGCCTTGGCATTCGTGCTGCCCAGGCGGCGGTGGCATAGGCCCGGTCACCCCCCATCCACCCACCCCCAACTCCAGTGCCTACTCTCCCGATGAATCCCTGTCAAGAAACACGTCACCTGGGGGGCGATCCATGACCCCCCGCCCCGCCCCGGAGCCGCGGTGGGGGTCCCCGGAGAGGAGCCACAGATTGAACTTGTGCTAAAGCACTAGCCACACGTGGCCAGGGCTCCTCAATTTATTTCCGATGAATGACTGAATGACTTGCCAACACACAGCACTCGGGCACATTTTGGGGATCACACTGGACAGGAACTGTGACCCCCTCCCCCAATGCCTCCCCCCAAGACCACCAGTTGCTCGGCCGGCGCCACACGAGGGCCCGCCCAGGTCACCATTGTTCCCCAACACGTCCACCGCGGCCCAGCCCGCCAGCCACAAGCAAACTGTTCGTCGACCCCCGGAGTTGATGCCGGACTTCGGGGATCGCGGGGGCCCCTAGCCCACCGCCGACCCCCTCCCCGAGCACAGCTTCCGCCTATCCGATGATGGACGAAGCC